CACTAGAACAACATCATTATCCAAGTGTGCTTGCGTAATACATCGTTTGACTGCGTTGGTCACTTTGTCGTATATGAACGGCAAGCATAAAGGAACACGTGTTCGACTTTGGTTGCTTGCGTTCATGTATGTTCGTTTGGAGGCTTTCGACTGCAGCGAGTATCCGTTGTTGGAAGCTATGACGCGTGCCATTTCCAGAGACTCAAGTCTCTCACTTTCTCCGCTGCACACACTGCTGGCTGTCTTAAACATGTTGCGGATAACCGCACGTTTCACGGCAGTTGGGTGAGCAGAAGTGGCGTGTAAGATAATGTTCTTGCTGCTCTCTTTCCGATACCATTTAATGTGTACAGCGCCGTTTGCCAACATCACCTGTGTGTTAAGGTAGGGTAACCAGCCATCGTGTGGTTTCTCTCTAGTTAAGCTAATGTACTGCGATTGTTCATTGAAGGTCTTAAAGCACTCATCCATTTCGGACTGAGTCGAAGTTACAATGAAACAATCGTCTATATATCGACAGTACATTAGGGGACGTCGCGTTAATACAGGCTCTTCTATCTTGCTCATAAAGCAGGGGATGGGGCAAAGACTAGCGCCGGTTCTTGCTGTCTGCTTTATGAGCAAGATAGAAGAGCCTGTATTAACGCGACGTCCCCTAATGTACTGTCGATATATAGACGATTGTTTCATTGTAACTTCGACTCAGTCCGAAATGGATGAGTGCTTTAAGACCTTCAATGAACAATCGCAGTACATTAGCTTAACTAGAGAGAAACCACACGATGGCTGGTTACCCTACCTTAACACACAGGTGATGTTGGCAAACGGCGCTGTACACATTAAATGGTATCGGAAAGAGAGCAGCAAGAACATTATCTTACACGCCACTTCTGCTCACCCAACTGCCGTGAAACGTGCGGTTATCCGCAACATGTTTAAGACAGCCAGCAGTGTGTGCAGCGGAGAAAGTGAGAGACTTGAGTCTCTGGAAATGGCACGCGTCATAGCTTCCAACAACGGATACTCGCTGCAGTCGAAAGCCTCCAAACGAACATACATGAACGCAAGCAACCAAAGTCGAACACGTGTTCCTTTATGCTTGCCGTTCATATGCGACAAAGTGACCAACGCAGTCAAACGATGTATTACGCAAGCACAGTTGGATAATGATGTTGTTCTAGTGAATTTACCACAAGACAACATCAAGAAACAACTGGTGCGAAATCGATTATACGATAGAGCTTGCACATCGCGAAATTGTGTGTGCACTAACGAAAGGTCAGGAGATTGCTCAAAAAGTGGTGTAGTTTACCAGTTGGAATGTCGAACATGCCGGGCCATTTACATCGGCGAGACCGGTCGACCGCTTTTTGTACGTGTAAATGAACATCTGGCCAGCAAAAGAAGACAGAGCCTTGTGAGCCCATTGGGGAAACATAGAAGCGAAGATCACGGCGGCGAAGACTTTGACATAAAATGCAGCATACTGGCAATCGAGGACAACATCTCTGCTCGAAAAGTGTTAGAAGCCGCGTTCATTCTTGCTCGTAACCCGAAATTAAATAGCAAGAATGAACAGTTGTCTGTGACGAATGATCTGAAGCCGTTCTTATCATTTTGTGATTTCGATAGCCTATAGCTATTTAAACATGTCCAAACCAGTCGGACTGTTTATTGTTACCGTACACTGTAGGCGACCTAAAGAGCCTCTATGTGCTCTTCTCTGGGAGTCTTGGTAAGTTGATCGAGCTTGGACGCTGGACTGCGGTTGCATTGGACGAGTCAAACGTGCGAGTTGGTCGAGGCATTTGATGGCATAATACGTTTGATAAAAGTGATTGACTCACTTTCAGGCCTCTGAGGACGGCGTATCCGCCGAAACGTTAGGCAGCACAATAAATTGTTGCTATAAAAACCTGTCGTGGCAAAGAAGAAATTCAGCAATATTCAACATTATGCCAAGGTTTAAAGAAAGGAGAACTTTTGAGTTAATCTCGTTTTCGTTTGGTCGCTCAAGAAAAAAAATTTAAAAATTTTGAAAAAAGCAGGCTTGAAGGCTGATCATTACAGGTCCACCTGGAGTTTCTACTGATTGAAGCACTTCCTACCTTCAAAATTTCTTTCAGATAGGTACACATTCAAAAGTGTTGAACAGTTGCTTTGATCAAGCTGTGTCATAACTCTAAAAGAACTGATTATCTGCTTTTTTAGCCTTGAAAATGCTTTCATATGTATTTCGTTCTAAAAACCTGCTTTGAGTAGGAAATTCTACAGTTCTTCAGCTGGTTTGGAAACGACGGGGTTTTATCTATCCTCCGGATGCTTTTGACATGAGCATTGAGGAAGAAATCTGATTTTTTGCTGCTGAAGTAAATCCGACATTGACAACACTGTAATCCTGAGCTCAAATTTCTGCAAACTTCTTCCACAATGTCGTCAGTGCTTTGACAAGCTAGACGAGCTGTTCTAGCAGCTGGGATTCGGTGTATCGTTAAGAACCCACTATTGAAGCAATCAAGGGGCGTGACTTGATGCATACCACTAATGGCTGGGTACTTGACGCCACGCTCCCATCTTGATGACTGATATTAAAGGCAGTGTCCGGGCAAAAACTCGATTTTGAGATTTTGTGCTTATACGGGCCTATTCGCCATGCTGTATCCGAAATTTCACATTGGAAAGCGCGAAAACGGCGAAAAAGGGCTCTAATACAGGAGGGAAATCAGCAGGTGGGCGGGGCTTTCCCTAGTGCGATTTCACGCTCCCAGCTCCCGGAGCGATTTGCTCGATTCCGCTAGCCGCCCTAACATCGCTACTGGCCAAGTGCGAATGATTGACTTGAAACCGGAAGCGAGAAGGTCGCTCCGGAAGCCGGGAACGTGAATTCGCAGTGGGGAGGACCCCGCCCACCTGCTCATTTCCATCCTGTGTTAGAGCCGTTTTTCGCCATTTTTGCGCTCTGTGCTCTGCGCTCTGTGTGCTCTGTGCGCTCAATGTGCATTTTCGGATTCAGCGTGGCGAATAGGCCCAAGTAAGCACAAAATCTCAAAATCGAGTTTTTGCCCGGACACTGCCTTTAAGCTGGTAAACACACGGCTGTATCCAAATGGAACATTTTATTGACAACAAAGTGAGTTAAGGCATTTTCAAGAGTGGACTATAATCTTGTCCAGCACTGTATTGTGTTCCTCAGCAGGACTGAAGTGATTTATTGAGTCTTGCCAGAGTGAGTCCCCTTGCAGTATTCGCAGTTTATTGTCCGCCTCGCCTATCGATGCTGTCTAGAATAAATGGTAGAGAAACTTCGCCATACGCGCATTCCAAGTGCTCCTCTGAAGTAGTTTTTATCGAGTTGGAGCTGAAGAAGTTACAGATTCCCTTTTTGTAAATGAAGATTATTCAGATCCTTAAATTCAGCAACTCAACTTCTGGGTGTCTTTAGACTTATTTGTATGAGCTTCTACTATCAAATCGCTCACACATACGAACTCAAAATCTGTCTTATCATTTCCAAGCTCCCAAACAGCTTATCAGCCTTCAGCCATGAGCAAGTATACTCTTCTTATTGGGATTATTCGCCTAGCTGGTGCACCTCGCTTGCAATCAACTCGAGTACACTTAAAAATAACATCAGACTCAAGCTGAATGTTTGAGAGAAGTGTCGTGTATTGTTCCAATGTCTGCTTGCATTTCCGGTCACTTAGATCCCCCCCCCCCCCCCTCCCGAAAAGGCGCTTCCACCACATCTTCCTACAAGGGGACTACATCCTAAAAAATGACTAAATGGAGGTGACCATAAACATAAGCGAGTTAAGAAAACTTATGCAATCAGTAAAAGCTGCATCTCATAAGTCTCGAGATAAAGAATTATTTTTGAAGGGTACAGATGCGTAGATCGTAAACATACTTGAAGTTTTTAGATTAGTTTGCTTCATGAAAATCATCTGAACAGCTTCTAGGTCATCTTGAAAACTCTCTTATACACCTTCCGCATTTTGCGCGGGATGCAGAGGTGTTGCGTAAATCAGAAATATTTCATGGCAGGAACGAAAGTAGAAAAGCAGTGAGAGTTTACGAAAAGGAAAATCGTGTACCCTAAAATCCGGCAAGAACGGACTTATCTGCAGTTTTGGCAGGAAAATCGATGGAAAAACGCCGCAAAAGGTCTCACAGATAAGTCCGCCTAAATCCTCTCGCAGATACGTCCGTCTGTCCTGAGCATGAGCAAGCGCGACCTAGGAGCACAAACGCGCGCGACCGCCCGCGTAGCTTGCCGGTGTAGATTTAAACAAGGCCGCGAAATCGCCTGAAAGGAAGAGCCAAAGTATTCGACAAGCCGTGCAGACTAGTTGCTGACAGTTTCGCCGAGGATTTGTCATCATATACGCTGGATAGGTGAGTTCTTTTCTTAGATATAACATTTCTTGTGTGTTGGAATTGATGACGCGATAGTAAGGTAGGATTTTACCCCATTTTCAGGAATATTAGGCAGGGGAGGTTTATGATATAGGCTAACTACAGTACATGCATCTCCTACAAAGCTTTTTTAGAACGCTGATCGTCGCGCATACTCTGTTCCAAGCAGTAAGTGACGAAGTACAAAGACACAAACGGTTCGTAGTTTTGCAAAACGCTACAGAGAAGTTGTTCTGGATATCACATGTTTCAGCGATTGGAATCAAGCCGTGAACTCCCCTAAAAGAGACCGCCAAAGGATTCGACAAGTCGTGCAGTCTAATTGCTGACAGTTTCGTCGCGGATTGGTCATCACATACGCTGGTGGGTTCTTTTCCTATATAAGACAGTGCTTGTACACATGGAATTTTTCTGTCCGAAAAATCATAATAGGTTTTCTCATTATATCATTGCAATCATCTCATCTTATCATTCATCTTATCGTTTTGGAAGCTACAATGTTTTTAATACATCTCTCGAACCCGTACAGGCACATCTCCCCCCACAATCTTGGGAATGTCGATGAAGTCCCAGTGCCCTTCGATATGGTTTATTCAAGGACCGTGGATCAAGTGGGAGCCGATACTGTAAGGATTGACTCAACAGGACACGAAAAATCGAATTTTACCGTTGTCCTCTCTGTGACGGCCGCTGGAGAGAAATTAAGACCGATGATCATATTCAAGAAAAAGAGGATTCCCAAGGATAATTTCCCTCCTGAAGTGGTAGTTAGAGCCAATGATAAAGGCTGGATGAATCACGAACTGATGAGGACATGGCTCCATGAGGTGTGGGACAAACGGAAATGCTATGTCAACAATCCCTCGCAGTCATTACTCATATTAGATTCTGCAAGGTATCGTTTCGTATTATATCATTTCTTGATCTTATCTTGCTTTTTTAAGGTGCCATCTCACAGAAGACGTCCGAGAGCTTTTCAAGGAGCACTCAAAGATCGCGGTCATTCCAGGCGGAATGACCAAATATCTACAGCCTCTCGACGCCGGCATCAACAAGCCCTTCAAAGACAATCTGAGGGCGGGATGGGAGCGATGGATGGCCGATTCAGCACGAGCAAGGTACACAACAGGCGGCGCCAGGAAAAGGATGACCTACAAAGAGGTAGCTGCACTAGTCTACGAGAGTTTCAATGCAATCACTGAAGAAACCATTGCGAACAGTTTCACCAAGGCTCTCGATGACGAATCAATAATAGAAGGCATGAACGAGGATTTCGACGCTTTGATTGTTGCTGATAATAACGATAATGATGGTCGTTCTTTTGGTCAAGTTGTTGCCATGAATGTTTGTTATGATGAACATGGAATGCTACCTGAATAAAGATCTGTTGCTTCGGTTCATTCTGAGACCAAAAAAGGCAGCGCAATTGCGCATCCTTCTTGTTTTCATGTGAAAAAAATAAGGCGGACTCATCCGCGGGACTTGGCGGCGCGCGAGGCGCGCGAGGCTGTCACGAAAGCGGACTTAACTGAGAGCTCTTTTGCGGTCTTATCGGCGAGGCGGTCTTTACTGCGAGGCGATCTTATATGCCGGATTTTAGGGTAAATGCAATTCGGCCGCTTGCGCGAAAGTCTTATATCTCACCGAAATCGTTTCGAAAAAGTCAAATCAAAAAGCGTGTTGAGTCTCTGACTTGCGGCGGAGAATCAATCTGCATCAAACTGTGGAAATCTTTTCAGTTTAAGGCAGGTATTTTATGAAAACTGTTTGAAGGAATGTGTCCCGATAACGAAGAAGTACCAAATTGCCTAATGTCCTGTAAGTTTCCGGGCACTCTTCTAGTGGGATTCGCGAAGAGTTCAAGGATCAAGACGCAACAAAGGACGGTACTGTCATTTTTGTAAACGTCTTTTCAGAGACTATATGCATACTTCTAGCCAGCCCTCAGAACAGTACAAGGGTTTCGCTACTCATGTGATGTGTGTGACTCTCTTGTGAATAGATTCTTCATTTATTATAACAATTTCGCACCTCGGTTTCACGAGTTGTTAGGATATGGGTATAACGCACTTCAATAATTTTCGATGTGCTACTCTAGCGCACATCAAGAATCATTACGAGAGCAGTGTCCATTATATATGAACAAAAAACTGCAGTTGATTACATGAAGTGCGTTTGCTGCAAAATCTCAACTTCAAGCACTCTGTAGTAAATCTCCTTTGTGACACTACAAAATAAAAAGGATTTTCCCATTTGCACCGCATCTTCGTCTGAATCTGACAATATCTTATTCAATCGCAGTACCTCACCACATGTACGAGATATCTTTATAAAGAATGTTTTCATCTGCTTTGTGGACTACTGGAAAACAAAATGAGTGTTGGTGGCTGCACTTGTCGTAGTTATCCACAAAATGCAAAAATTGCACCATGCATCCGACCAGGGCTCAGCACGAGCTGGCACCAGGGAATTTTTAAAACGAAGTCCCCCTTGAATTCCGCTAACTTTTACGAAGTCCCCTTTGACCCCGGCCCAAAATCTGTGAAAATCCTCCAAAAACGAAACGTCGACTAAAAAAACGTCGCAATTTGTCGACAAAAACGATATCCCCTTTGCTTTTTGTCCCAAATTCATATCCAGCTTGCCCCGTGCCAGATGGTGCCAGCCCCTGCATCCGACACAGCAGTCAGCACGCGTAAGGTTTGGGCCACTTGAGGCATACGAAGCTGCAACGCTGTGCGCACCGTACTCACGTGCGCTGAGCCCGCCCAAGCCTCACTGGACGAATTCGAAAAGCCCAAGTGTACGATGACCGGCGTTGCGTACTAGCACTCCTCACCGCCTCAACTTTCGCCAAAGCCGTAGCGCGCTCAGACTTAGCAATGCGCGGCACTTCCATTCAGGGCCCGGCATGAGTGAATTTCTAGTCTTCCTAAAAACCCCCCTCTAACTTTTGAAAATTTAACGAAGTCCCATTTGACTCTTACCCATCGACATGAGAAAACAGATGAAAAAAGGAGTTACTAATCTAAAAGTAAAAACGTGAAATAAGAGTGAAAGTTTAAAGTGGAGCTGAACACTACACATGCACACAGGTGCGGAGGGAGCAGGATCCCCTCCAGGTAAAGGGAGTTTCGGCTATTTCCGTCCTAGAAATGTGAAGGGAGTAACTGAGCCTTGAAGTAAATGCTGACGTAAGCTTGCATGCCGATGTGCAAAGCAATATAATTATTTTCTGCAATGCTTTGGTTTTGAATGATCATTGAACAGAGATTTTTCTGATTTAGGATAGCTTTATGTCCTTCAGTCGACATACAATTTGAAAGCTTGAAATATGTAAAATTAATGGAGACTATCTCTTTTTCTCCAGCTCTCTTTTGAATTCACACATAAATTTTTTTTTGTCTACAGCTTTTTATCTACAGCATTTGATTTTATGAGATCAGTTTGCCATCCATTTCTGAAATGGAGAGGAAAGCTAGAAAAAAGGAGATGGTCTACGTTTACTGCAAGGTCTTGATCTTAATACAGTCAGACAGGCATCTTCACTTATTCTCTACGCAGGAATTCCTAACAAAAACGCACATGTTTTTAACTAAAATGCTTTTTAACTCCGAGTGGAGAAGAGCTAGAGAAAAAGAGACTGTCTGCGTCGAATCCCCGTTTCGTGAGCATTCCAATGGTATATAGGTTGTTGAGTGAAAAAAAAATCTAGTACTTTTTCAAAAATGAGGTGGAGATAATTACTATTAGCTTTCTCCACCCTCTTCCCCGAATGATTTTATGAGTCGCCGGAGTAAGACGTTTTTGGGCTGGGAAAGCTTTATCCACCAACACTTTGTATACCGTTCGATAGCTAATAAGAAAAGCTACCTAATTTAGCTCGGTCTTTTGGTAGTATATCTATAAGTTGAATCAGCTTCAAACGCTGATTCCAAATATGCTATCCAAGCTGCCGCGCACCATTCTGAAGCGAGTTATGGGCTTTTTCGTACGCAATTCTCATACTACTGAACATGAGAAGACTGCCTGTAGATAAAGATCTGCAAGAAAAAAATGGTGAGGTGTCGAAGTAGCACAAATCCAATCTTTCACTAAAAAAGCTCAACGCAGATGTGTCAGCACTTGAATGATGATGACGTGATGCAGATGTGCATGCCAATTTTGCGCAGGAAAAAGCCCACAACTCGCTTTGGAATGGTGCATGACAGCTGGGAATAGCATATTTGGAATCAGCGTTTGAAGCTGATACAGAATGTACAGGGTGTCCGTCATGTATAGACTGCTTGATCGTTAATATCTTCCCAATAAGTCTTTTGCCTTGCCTCAGATACCGTTTTGTAGAGCTGGCTTCAACTTAGATTTACAGTATGGAGCGAATCACCGATCGCTCTTCATTACTGGAGGATTACGGTAGAAACATGAAACTTATGGTGTCAATGTGGAAGAAGCTGCCGTCTCAAAATTTTTTAAAAAAATGTGAAAACTTGTGTAATAAGGTTTTTATGGACGCTGAGTTCAGTACTCAACTATTCACAAGATTACGAAGCTTTCTAAACGGTGTAACCGCACTTTTTAGGAACATTGAAAAATGGCCGCTACCTCTTAACTGGCATAACTCTTCAATGAAGCATCATATAAGTTGGGAACGTTGGAATTTATAGTTAGAATCAACAACTCTAATTAGTGTACTTGGGTCCGAATCGAATAGAAACTCGATCATTCGATTAAAACATTCGAATATGTTCGTATTCAAAATTCGATATTCGGAGTTCTTCCATTTTCGAATATTATTCGAAAGCTAGAATAATCAAAAAAGGCGTTTCGAATAGATTTTATTCGAATTCATTCGAATGTTTATTCGAATTCGTAATCGAATGAACTCCGTATTCTGATTATTCGACTTTGTTGCAGAGCCAGCTGCTGAGTATCAAGCTCATTCGTCAGCGTTTTTTAAAAAAACTCGTACGAAAAAAACTCTGTAATGCATGCTTTTGCAAACGTTATGACCTTTGAACTGTATGGAGGGTCGCATTATTCCGACTGCTTGACATTAAAAAAATCATCTGTGGATTTTAATTGATGCTTTTCGATCAATGAGATTGGCACTAAATTAGCAAAGAAGCTATCAAATTTAAAGCTCATGTTTTGAGTTCATTTATTGGAAGTGTTCTGAAATGCCTTTTTTGTTTCTTTGGATTGCTCATGCTTGTGGTACGCAAAGCCCACACTAGTGAGCATTCTTGCTCGCATAAGTTATACTGCACAACTGCTTCTATTAGCTATCTTAGAGATTTTTTGCGAATGTGTATCTTGAGTAAAGGACATCGCAGTTGTAGTGGAGGACTAGACGATTTATATCGCCGTACGCGATTTGCCAGTTGCGAGATGTCTTCAAATGTAATGCCAGCTTACCGCAAATGTTTAGCGTGTACAACTTATCTGTACTTTCAGAATAAGTTTTGGACAATCTAACTATTGCCAAACCAAGTCGCCACTGAAATGCCTGCAGTATGCCAGGGGCTAGGGGCAATCGTGCTCGTTTCGGAATAAACCACATTCCTTCGTCCACGACTAGCTTATACCACACAAGACGAAAGTTTCCGATAAACAGGCAGTGTATCGTAGCATTTGTGGCATTTGAGTACATATGTGGCCACTGTTGTTGCGGGGCCGGGAGTTGGTACAAGGAGGTAAGTGAGGGTGCGGATTGGATAAAAATTTACTTTATCGATTTTGTCGATTTGTGGAAAATCTTGAGCTATGAGGTTGGGAGTTGGTGCAGGGGGTAAATGAGGATGCTGATCAAAACCGGAATATATTTTATTGATTTCAGCGATTTTCGGAAAATTTTGAGCTAGGAGTTGGTATAGGAGATATGAGTGTGCTGATTATGAATGGATTGGCTTGAGCCAGGTATGTCGGCAAGTGTGTTGTAGAGCCGTCCTTTATATTGAAACTTGCTCACTCACTATAGGCTAGGTCGATATGGTCTCTGTGGTTGCGGCGTACCCGCCGCACCTTGATATATTTGTGTGTGTTGTTCTCTAGTTATTCCTAGTGAACCCTCGGCATGTACGCCGATAGGCAGAGGGGGAACTCTTGTGTTTTTCTAATAAATCGTCAACGGCTCAACGCGTTCCACAACAACTGGCGATCAGGATCAAGGACAAGAAGACCTCCACCGACCAAGGACCAGAAGAAGCTCCAGCGACCAAGGACCAGAAGCCTCGATCGATCAAGGACAAGAAGAATTGCTGCAGCTCAAATCGAGGAGGAATCTACCATTGGTCGAGGAGCTAGGAAGTAAGCTTTACTAAGAAGTTATCGGTTTAGAAGAATCGTCAACACTGGGAGGTTTACCATGCCGAAAGCCAGCGGTGAAGAACGGCATGGCCATGACTCCCTGGAGAAGGTCCTGTCGGTCATGATCGATCAGATGCGGCTACAACAAGAGGAGATGAAGCTGCATGTGCAGCTTCAACAGGAACAAATGCAAGCTCGACTACAAGCCCAGCAGGAACAAGTACAGATGCAGTTGCAAGCTCAGCAGGAGCAAATGAGGACGCTGATCTCCACCCTGGTCAGTAGCCAGGGAGCCGTCCAAGACACCAGCAAGGATCAGTACGATCAGCTGAGTAAGGACGTGCAAAGGTTCGTCTCAGACGAAGAGACAGGTAACACCTTTGCGTACTGGTATTGCAGGTACGGACCGGTTATACGCGACTCCCAGCTTTCGGATCAGAAGAAGCGCGACTTAATCCTAATGAAGCTGGATGAAGAAGCATATCGGAAGTATGCTGATGAGGTCTTGCCTGCGCAACCGAGCGACTTGGACTTCGACACCACCGTCGCGAATCTCCAGAAGCTGTTCGCCTCTAAGAAGACGCTCATCAGGAGACGGTATGAGTGCCTGAGGATAACCTCCCTCCGCTTACTCCAGCGTACGTACCATTTCGCGAGTACGCCAATACCATCAAGCGGATGGACGAGGATGC